AGATGGCCAACTGCCCTGGGGCCTTAGGGCGGTGGTGACAGCCAACTGGGGAATCGGGGAGGAGGGAGAGGGGGTGGTGGGGAACCTGCCGGGCACTCAGGAGGGCTTGGTCACACCCCTGTGGCCTCCAGGGCCCCTTCCGAACCTGTTCTTTCTGGAAGCCCCCCGTACCCCCAGGGAAGATGCAGGGCCCTTGTCCCTGCCTGCCTGTCTGGGGCCAGAGTGGCCAACGCCTGAATCCTCACACCAGGCTGGAGCCCAGGAAGCCATGGCATTGGGGGCGGGGCTCCGTGGTGGGGGCTGGCCTGCGTGCCAGGCCCTGGGTTCCATCCCAGCACCGCGTCCACAGGGAATGAAATACCAAAAGGGCCATCCCCATCTAAGAGCTGTGGCCGGGCCGCAGGGCCCTCCTCAGCCTGGAAGCGGGAGCCCAGGAGCGGGAGGTGGCTGTGGGCTGGGGGCTTCCAGGGAGGGTGGGGACCCTAGGGAAGATGGCTGTGCCAGGCGGGGCTCTGGGGAGGCAAATCCCTGCTCCCGGGGCGCTGCGGGCTCACGTCCTCTGAGTGGAAGACGTGGCACATCATCTTGCACAGGCGGCGCCCTCGGTCCTGGGGTGACCTCCGTGCCAGCCGCCGCCGCGCCATGAGCACCAGGACCTGGCCGATGTCAGCGATGTAGGAGATGGTCTGCAGGGCGTGGTCCATCATGGCCTCCTGGGGCGGGAGGGGCAGCTAGTGCAGGGCTCACCCTGAGACTTCCAGGACCCACCCCAACCCGCAGGGTACGCAGGGTACCTGGGAATCGGCCGTGAGGACCTTGATCCTCTTGGTGGAGACGAAGAGGTCCACCTCCGTCATGGGCTGGGTCTCCCCGTCGGGGGCCTGTGGGGAGCGCAGGAATGGAGGCCCCCAAAGACCCACCCACAGGCCTGGGCCCTGGGCACCCCGCCTGGCCTCACCTTGACACGGTCCATCGCCTCCTGGGCCTGGGCCATGCGCGTGCTGGGGGGCGGGTTCTGCTCCGACACCAGCTGGGTGGAGCCCAAGTATTTGGCCCCAAATATGACACCATCCATGAGGTCCTCATGATCACAGGGACCGGGTACTGGGGGCAACAGTGGGGAGAGGGTTGGCCCTCAGGAGTCCAGGGCCTGCCTGCCCCTGGGGCTCTGTGCAGGGGCGGTTCCCAAGTGGTCTCTGCCCTGGCTCACTGTGCTGGTCACAAAGGTCCACCCACAGCCCAGCACCTGGGGTGGCTCAGCCTCAGGCCCAGTCCTGCCCATCTAGAGCAGCTTAGCCACCCCTCCAGGGTTCCCCCAGCTGGACGCCTCTGCAGGGCCAAGCCGATGGCCAGATCCAAAGCCAGACCGCACTCAGGCACCATGTCCAGGGCCCTGAGACCAGCCTGGACCCCTTGCCCGCCCATTTCCAACACCAGCAGCATTCTGGAACGTGGACCCGGCTCCAGTTTGGAACTTGCCAACCAGCACCAGGGCCTACTCTGCCTGCTGCTCCTGATCCCCCAATCTGTCAAGGTCGGGTGATAACTCTGCTCCTTGGTGTGGCAGAGACGACTGTCCCAGTCCATGTGGGAACTCCCATACTGTCCTGGGTGGGACGGAAGGCCCTGACCTGCAATTCCAGGACTCCCTGCCGGGTTCCAGGCCACCTGGTTTCGGCAGGGTTCCAGAAAGCAACAGCCTCCAGAGGTGCATCACCTCACTCCAAGATGCTAGAAATTTTTCTCTCGTGACAGCGGGGCTCACACCTGGGGCTCATGCATGGCAGGCAAGCGCTCTACTGAGCCAGCCCTGGCCCCAGTTCTAGAAGTCTCCACTGTGGCCATGAGGTAGCCCTTCCTAGGACTCTGTGGTTTGCAACATCAGCACAACCACTGTTCTCAGAACAACCCTGATCTAGGAACATTCCAGATGGTGGTTCTAGAACCCTGGCCCAGCCCCGAGCCATGCAAAGCCTTGCCCCCCAGGTCCTAGATTTCCCGTGGCCGCCCAGACCCAGAGCTCTGCCACTGCTCTAGGATGTCTGGTGGCTTCTGCTCCCTGCAGCCACAGGCCCACTCTGGGCAGCCCTCCAGGGCCTCAGACCACAGCCTGCCCGCCGTGTCCGCACCAAGCTCTGCCCTGGGACTCTGGAGCTGTGCTGTGCCACAGCACACGGCCGCCTGCCACACACATGTCCCGAGTCTGGTCCTGACTGAGTGGCCGAGGGTGAGACACTGCAATCCTGAAGACCACTGCTCCAGAGCGTAAAAGCAAAAACCCTCAAAATATCCATCATATGAGCCTGGGGCTGGGCTCAGGGGTGGAGCGCTCGCCTAGCACGCGTGAGGCCCTGGTTTGATCCTCAGCATCACATAAAATACAGGCATTGTGTCCATTTACAACTAAAAAAAAAAAAACTTCATAAAAAACTAATTATAAGACAATGCACTAAGTGTCTTGTGATAATTAAAACATATTAAAAAATTACGTTGGCTGGGGCTGCAGCTCAGTGGCAGAGTGCTTGCCCAGCACGTGAGACACTGAGTTCAATCATCAGGATAGCATAAAAATAAATATTTTCAAGGAAAAAAAAAAGTTAATTCAACCTGTTCTCCAGATCGTTTTTCACGTAGCTAAAAAATGCAACTTCTCACGTGGCTGGCTCTGCATTTCTACTGTCAGTCCACTCCAGAGCTTTCTGGGCAGCTGTCGTCTTTCTGTGTTCTAGAAAAGGGCAGGCGAGGTCTGCTTGCTCCAGGGCTCTGGACTTTCTCAGTCCGAGCAGCACCAGGCGGCTCTGCTCATCAGCCCAGGACACCCGCACTACTAGCCAGGCTCCTTGGATGCAGGACCAGAGGCAGAAGGCCAAGCCCTAGAACCCCCTAGGCAAGAGTCCAGAAGCTTCTCAGAGCCACAGGCCCACTCAGCTCCCCTCTCTGCCACAGAACTTGCTATTTGATTTCTATCTTAAGGTGGTTGGGGAAAATACTAGAACATTCCAGATGGCCAGGCTCTTCTCACACCTTTAGGACAGACCGACAAACTTCTGTACAGGGCCCAACAGTATTTTCATCCTGTGGGCCAGAAGGCGTGCTGCCAGGAGTCACGAGCCGATTAATGGCAGGTTGCTGAGAAACACCTGCAGGATGTGGTGGACTCACCTCAGGATGGCTGTGCCGATCCCAGGCAAAGCAATCCTCGGGACCACCAAATGGTCTGTCCAGAGACTGACCCATCCTTGCGTAGTGCATGACCATCCTGGGCCCTGTCCTCATCCACCTCAGCCACAGACAACAAGTGAGCAGGTGCCACAAGGTTTTGGTAAAACTTTATTAACACTGAAACCTGAATCTCACCTCACTTTCCTTTCAAATTTTTAACCATTAAAAAAAATGCAAAAGCCGTCCTCGGCTCAAGAGACCTGTGAGAAGAGACCAGGGCCAGACTGGCCTGCAGATGGTCATTTGCCAGCGTTCACTCTGGAACCAACTGCTACAGAGCCATGCCCGCCCTGCCACCTGCTACTCACTCCAGAACATTCTCTGGACTCTGTTTCCTGGCCTTCTAAACTCTGATCCAAACTGCCAAGAGCTTCCCGAGAACTTCATCCTCACGGTAACCCTCAGCGCCACCTAGGAGGCAGGCCCTGGCTGTCTGGAACCCTAATCCCTGGGCAGGGTGGGAAGGGCACTCACCCTCCTGGAGGGCAGGGTATGAAGCCAGGCTCTTGGGGCCCTGGAAGGAGACAGAAGAGGGGCAGTGCTGAGTCCCCCTGCTTGGGTCCAGGCTGCAGAGGACACCTGGAGGGTGGAGCAGGCACTACCTGGACACCGTCAGGTGGCTCTTCGGGCGTGACCAAAGGAGAGGTCTCCAGCCAGGGCTCAGGGGAGCTGCTGGAGCTCCTGCTACCACCCTGCTCGGCAGAGGCTCCCTCTGCCCATCCCGGGGGCTCGGACTCTCCATCTGCATCCTCAGGGGGCTGCAACAGGGGATGGGCAGGCTCTGGAGGCTCCTGGGCACCAGGCTTAGAAGGCGAGTGCCCCTCACCCTGCAGAAGCCTCAGAAGATCATCCCGACCAGCCTCAGCAGACAAGAGGCCGTGGGCGTCAGTCGTGTCGTGGGGGTCCAGGCCCTGGCCAGTGGCAATGTGCAGAGGGCAGGGTGCGCTGTCTGGGGGCAGGCCCATCAGGTCTCCGGGCAGAGCCTCAAACTGCTGCACCAGGCCCTGAAGGCTTGACCCCTCGAGGTCCACCGGACCCAGGCTGCCGGGGGCCTCAGGCACCGCGTCCCACTGACTCTCAGTGCTGAGGTCCTCCGAGGGCACCAGCGGGTCCTTGGGCTTCTCCAAGTCCATGGCGGGAGGCTCTGAGCGCGGCCGGGGGGCGTCAGGAAGTCCGCGGCTGGCTCAGGCTCCGGCCGGCGTCCCCATGCGGATCCGAGGCACCCGGGGCTGGGGCTTGCTGGGCGCCCGCTCCTCCCGGGGCTGCTCCCGCCGCGCGCCGCGGGGTCCTCGCTGCGCCTGCAAGGGCCGCGCCCCCACTCACCGACCAGCAAGCCGAGGCTCGGCGGCCGCCCCACGCCAGCGGCTGCCCAGTGCTGCCCAGAGCCGGGGAGACGCCGGCCGCGGGACCCCGCGCCTCCCCGGACCCGTGGACTCGGACCCCGGCGCCCGCCCCGCTCACCTGCCGAGCCGAGGCAGAGCCCGCCCGCGCGGCCCCCAGGCCCCCGCGCCCGCCGCGGCATGTCCCGACGGCCCTGCCCGCCGCCGCTCGCCGACTCACGGCCCGGACGCCCGCTCCTCCGTCCCCGGGCGCCCCGCCCACTGGACCTGCGTGGCCTCGCGAGGCCTGCTGGGAAACGTAGTCCTCCAAGCACATGTCGCCACACGGGGGCGCCAGAGCTGCGACGGGTGTAGAGTCACGAGTTCGAATCCCGACCCTCCAGTCTCTCAGAGGGAGCCCAGGCTGGCCCTCTCTCCGCAAAATGAGATTACTGCGTGCCTCTTATGGCTGGGATGGCACGTGGGAAAGAAGTGGGGCTGGGAATACTGAAGAGGAGTGAGTCTGGTGGAAGACGCACTTCCGGTTGGGCTCAGAGTAGGCGGGGCCAGTGGCCTCCCCGGCCTCCGGGCGGCCGAGGAACTCTGCCTGCCGAGCGGGACAGTGGTGCCCACCTCCTAACGGCGGGTAAGGATTTAGCAATAGGTCCAGGATATACCAAGGATACGCTGGAAGAGTTGGCTTTTCTTTCTTTTCGGCTTTCAAAGCCTTGCTTATTGAACAAGCCAGGAATACGTTAGGTGAGGTATCTTGAGTAAATAAGTATCTGAAGAAGGGCAAGAAGTTAGTGAAATGTCCGCTGAATATTACGTCACACTAGAACTGGGACCGTCACCAAAGTCACGGTGGGCCGAAGGCTTGCCCGCGGCCGGCAAGACCACACTTCCCAGGAGTCCCCGCGGCCTCACGTCTCCCGGAAACGAGCGCGCGCAAGCATTCGACCTACGTCATGGCGGCCAGGCGCCTCTTCGGGGCTACTCGGGCCTGGGCCGGCTGGGGGACCCGGGAGATCCTAGACTCCCCCTCTCCTGGAAGACTCTTGGTTCGGAATTACGCCAAGAAACCGAGTGAGCCAGGGTATTAGGGATCAAGATAGGGACGGTGGACACGCGGGGAATTGGTGGCGCGCAGGCGCCAGTTGGGGAGGTGGGTCTGGAGTTTCTGCGCAGGTGCAGAGACAGAGCACAGGCTGTGTGCGCAGGCGCAATTTGGGGCCACTCGGAGCGCCGGCGCGCGTCTAGTTGACACCTGCGGATGCGACTGCGCTCTGTGCGCAGCCGCCGGCCGAAACCTCGCAGCCGTTGGCAGGGTGTGCGTTCAGCGGCGGGCGCGTTTCAGTGCGCAGGCGCGGGAGAGCGGGACTTGTCTGGGGAGGCGGGAGCGAGGGTTCTCCTCTTATTTCTGCTTCCAAGTGGCTGTGAGCCTTGGCACGAGCCGCCTCCGGGAGTCGGAGAAAGATATGCGGCCCATCTAAGTACTAAATTCCCTGATATTTAGTTATTGAGTTGTACCTGGATACAGCCTTGCCTGATCTCTGTGAAAGGAGGAAGCAGGCCAGTGTTAGGGCTAGAGTCACACGCGGCCAGTGGAGGGAGACCACCTCCGCGAGGTGAACCGCATCACAGCCGGACCCGAGGGGGGACGAGGCCACCCTCGGCTCGCCTAGCTGGGCCCCCGCGATTGGGAACGTAGGAGAGCCCCAGGGCCTTGGAGGGGGAGCTGGGCTGGCCTGACTCTCCCCTGCTCCCCAGTCACCAAGGGCGCCAAGGGCGGGAAGGGCAGTGTGGTCAGCGAGGCCCTGAAGGACCCGGAAGTGTGCACCGACCCCGTGCGGCTGGCCACGCACGCCATGGGCGTCAACATCTACAAGGCGGGCCAGGACGTGGCCCTGAAGCCGGACGCCGAGTACCCCGAGTGGTGAGTGGGCCCCGCGGAGGCCTGAGGGTCACGCCCGGCGGCTGGCCCAGACCTGAGCCCCGCCCCACCCCCAGGCTGTTCCAGGTGAACGTGGGCCCCCCGAAGAAGCTGGAGGAGCTGGACCCCGAGACGCGGGAGTACTGGCGGCTGCTGCGGAAGCTCAACATCTGGCGCCACAACCGGCTGAGCAAGAGCAGGAAGCTGTAGTGAGCGGGTCCAGGCGGCTGGACCTGCCCCTCCCCACAGGCGCCAGCCTTCCCTCCCCTTCCCCAGGCCTCAGTGGGCTGCTGGAGTTCCTGGCCTTGTCCAGAGGCCTCGGCCCCAAACCTAGGAAGGGAGGCTGTCCTCACGCAGCCTCTGCCAGGGCCTCAAACCTGCCCGGAGCTGTTGGGAGCCGGAGAGAACCTTTTGAGCTTCAGGAACTGAAAAGCCCAGGTGCAGGTGTCGGGCTTCAGGCAGGGCTGGATTCAGGTGCTTCAAGATAAAGACCTGTGTCCTGTCCGTCCCTGGATCTTTACCCCCCTAGCCTCAGGTCTCCTGGCCAGCACCCCCGACACACACACACACTCAGCAAGTGGAGCTGGGCGAGGGGACTGCTCAGGGCAGTCCGTTGAGCTCAAAGGTCTGGTCCTCCCTCCCTCCCTCCCTCCCACTGAAGCCCAGGCTCAGCCTCCCACCTGGCCCTCCCCAGCTGCATCATGAGCCTGGTGGGCAGCCAGGTCCCTGCATCCTCTCGCCCAGCCCAGCTGTGAGGTGGGCCTAGGAGCAAGACCCAAGCCCACCAGATTGGAGGAGGGCAGGGGGGTGCCCAGTGAGGGGCAGCAGGGACCTCTCACAGGACTCTGCCCCACACAGGTCCACTGATGGCCTGGGCCTGCCCCCTCCAGGCCCCTCTGGCTACAGACTGGACCCTGCAAGAGACCCTCAAATTCTGCCCGGTCCCAGGGAGATGAGAGCCCTCGTCCTCTCAGCAGGCTCTGCAGAAGGTGACCAGGCACCTACTCCCTGACTGGTCACAGATGCAAACATCCGTTCCTTCCTGATTCTCAGGTTGTACCTGCCCTGCTTCAAGCCTGTGGCGGTTCTCCGCAGCACTCCAAGTAAAAGCCAGAGTTACAGTGGCCTCTGCGCCCTGCCCACCCTGCCTGGTCACCTCCCTTAACCCCTTCATCCTCTGCTCCAGCCACAGGGACCCTCTGCTGAGCCTGTAAGACACCAGGCTTTTCCTGCCCCAGGGCCTTTGCAAGCTCTGCCCTCTGCCTAGACTGCTCTTCTCCCAGATAACTCCCCAGCTGCTCCCTGCCACCTCCCCAGGTCCCCCATTAAAGTTGCCGCACAACCAGTCACCCTGGTCTTTCTCACCAGCACTTACTACCATCTCACATTCCATGTTTTAGTGCAGTTGTGTTTTTAATATTTTGCGTCTGCCTCCCACTGTCTCCAGCCTGGGACCCGTGGTGTGTCTGGAGGTGGCTGGGTGGCGGAGGGCAGGGCTAGCGGTGGGGTGAGGGGTGAGGGGTGGAGGGTGGGGTGGGCGTGCGGGTGCTCTGGTGTTGACCTGGGCCTGTGGCTTCTTCTCCCCCTGCGCCCAGCGCCCCGGGTGCACCTCCACGGCGCCTCGCCCTGATCTGGGAGGTCCCAGGGCTGTCCAGGTGTGGGCCATGGGCTGTGGGGACGTCTGCTTCGCCCTTCCCCCCGTGTGGAGGGAGCAGGAGCTGATAGCAGCACCCAGGGCAGGCCACCCTTGCTTGCGTGGGTCCCTGAGCCTCCCTGGAGGGCACTGCCCCCACCAGCTCCAGCCCTGCCTGCTGTGCTGCCTCAGAAAACGCCGCCCATCTCTGGCCTCCTCCCTTAAGGGGCTGACGGTGGAGCCTGCCTCCCAGGACTGGTGGCAGGAGGGCTACCGGCAGGCGCAGGGTAAAGGTGACAGGAGGCTGCTGCTGTTTGTCACTTCTTGTCACTTCTGGGGCCCTGTGGGGGAAGGGCTGGGCAGACACTTCAGGAACCTGGCGCCCAGCACCATGCCCACTGGACACATGGGCTGAGGGGCCGAGACGCCCACAGGGCAGGGCCCCTGCCTGGGCCTGCAGGTCCTCAGGCCCCCCCTGCTGGGTGTCACCTGGCTGTGGGGTGGGGAGGGTGGGGGCACAGGGCAGGGTTCCCAGCAGCACATCGAGGTCTGGCACCTGGAGACGGCTGGGTCTGATTGGCTGCTGTCACCAGGCCCGTCTCAGGCTGGTGGCCAGGTTCTGTCCAGGGCCTGTGCGTGCTCCTTGGCCAGCAGCCGCAGGGACGCCTCCTCCAGGGCGAAGCCGTCCACCAAGGTAGGAGGGAAAGCGTGTGGCCCCAGGGAGGCCTGCAGCCCTGGGGCTGAGCCCAGGACGCCGGGGAGGCCTGGCCCCACCTGGGGGCCGGGGCCCAGCCAGGGCTCCAGGGGCAGTGGCAGGGCTGGGGGACGGGCAAGTGGCAGTGTGGGGGCCTCTGGGAGCCTCGGGGCTGCCACCGCTCCTGAGCCTGACTCCAGGCGCTCCTGGCGCCGCCACTTGGCCCTGCGGTTCTGGAACCAGACCTGGGGAGTGGTGGGGTCCTGCTGCGAGCTCGGCCCCTTCCTCCCCCTCCCCAGGCCCCTGAGGGCTGCCCGCCGCTGCCAGTGGCTCTGCTGTGCTGCTCCCAGATTCTGGGTTGAGGGGTCCCTCCCTCCAGCGTGGGCCCGGCCTCCTCCCTGGGCACTCAGGCCTCTGGGGCTCCCCCGCCTCCCGCCCACTCCTCGAGGCCTGGCGCCCGGCCTCCACCAGAAAGCCCCAGGCCCGGGTTGGGGCCTCACCTGCACGCGCACCTCGGGGAGGTGCACCTTGGCCGCCAGCTCCTCACGGCTGTACACGTCCGGGTAGTGGGAGGCCTCGAAGGCCCGCTCCAGCTGGTGCAGCTGGTACGTGGTGAAGGTCGTGCGGTTCCTGCGGTGCTTCTTCTTGGGGGCCTCCTCGCCTGGCCCCAGGCCCCCACCCTCAGGCCCCGGCCCCTCTCCCAGGCTCAGGAACATGGCTTCTCACCTGGCCGGGAGGACAGCAGGACAGAGTGTGGTGAGACAGTGGGAGGAACTGTCCCTGGGAAGGCAGGGGAGCCCACCTGCACCTCAGCCTCTGCCCTGCACCCCGTCTTTCTGGGGTCACCTCCCGCCTGCCCGTCCCCACTGCTGCAGCGTCCGCTCCTGCCGCTCCTCCCCGGTCCCCTCTCCCTGGCTCTGTGTGGGAGGACTCTGGGGTGGTGTCCCTCAGGCCCGAGTCCTCCACCTGTGCCGCCTGCCCAGGCTGGCTGCCCTCCACCAGCCTGCGGCCCGGCGTCTGCTGAGCCCAGGGGAGGGAGGATTAGTCGGAGCCGATTAATTGAGGCCCCCCCCCCCCGCCGCGGGTGCCGGTGTCCCCAGCCTCCAGGGAGGCAGCACTGGGGGCCGGGCTCCCAGGATTGCCTCCACCCCGCCCCGTGGGACGTCCAGGCCCCTCCGGCCTCAGCTTCCCTGGCTGTAAAATGGGGTCTCGGGGTGGAGCAGACAGCGCATAGCAAAGGCCAAGCGGGGACCCTGGGGGCGGGCGCTGCGGCCATCGATGGGGGCCAGCAGGGACAGCCGGCAGGTTCAGTGTCAGATGACGGAAGCGAGGTGAGGGCCGTAGTAGGGGTCCTCTGGATGCCGGCCAGGGAGCAGGAAGGGTCATTCTGGTTGGGTCTTGAGGTCTGCAGGAGGTCACTCTTCCTGTGCTCACTGCTTGTACGGAGCACTCAGTGTGTCCCAGGTACGGCCACGCAGGTGGCATCCCAGTGGGCAGCGGGCAGCCGGCAAGCAAAAACGAGGCGTCCAGCTTTGGAGCCTCGAGAAGCTCCCCCGGGGCCACTTCAGGGAAGAGGCCGGGGGTGTGGGGTGGTGAGGTGCTCGCTCTGGGGACAGCTCTGCATCGAGGAGGGCGCTGGGGGCTGTGGGCGGTTGGACAGCAGGGGGCTCACGGATGTCCACGTGGGCAAGATGGGGACCGGGAGGAAGCAGGCACAGCCCCGTGGGGAGAGGCCGGAGGCCCTGGGGTGAGGCCGGCTGGAAGGGGCAGGAGGAGCCGAGGCGTTTCTGGGGCACAGCATTTGGGAGGAGCTGGACTTTGGGTGAGGGGCAGCCCAGACGCAGGGTGCCTGGCGGCCTGGACTCGGGGGCGTGGGGGACACACGAGAGGCTCATCGAATGCAGTGAGGGGGATGGGTCCAAGTGGGGCCAAGACCCCTCTGGGAGGGAGGGGGACGCAGCAGACAGAGGAAGGACCTCGCAGGGACACAGCATGGCCACAACCACCGCCGCCCAGCCCGGCTGTAGAGGCAGAGGCTCCCGCGGTTTGGGAGGGCGTGGGGGGCAGGAGGCCTGAGCGGGGCTGCCCAGCAGTCAGCTGCAGTGGGCACAGGAGGGCCCCGCCCGCCCCGCACCTCCCACCCAGGGATCCCGCTGCTCTCAGGCCCAGGGGCGCACAGCAGGGGCCTGCGGGGACCCATGGGTGGAGCCGCACTCCAGACGCTGTCAGCTTAGAGGGCGGATTAGGGGCGGGCGGCAAGGGACAGGTGGCCCTCCAGCTGGCTCGGCGGCCTCCCAGCCTCCTGCCCTCCCGTTTCCCAGGAGGAGCTGCTAAACCCCTCGGGCACTGGTGGCCAGAGTGGACAGACTTCAGGAGCCATGCAGGAGGTCAGCCTGGCCTTGGGACAGCTGCGTGGGACTCCACTGGGGTCAGCACTGGGAGGCGGCTGGGGTCCAGGGGCCCCAGGGTTGTGTCCCCAGGAGTTTTTGTGCCCTGGAGGGGACAGGCTGGCGCCCATTGCCCCCCCACAGCGAGGCCTTGCGCACCTAGCCTGGCCGTGGACTTGCTGGCCAGGGCCAGTCAGCCTCCGCCTCCCGTCCAGCGCTCTCCTGCAGCAACCGAAGCCGCCTGAGGGCCACAGCCTGACCTGCCTCCTCGGTGTCCCAGTCGCTGGCCGACTGTGGAAGTCAGCAGGGAGCCACCGAGGAACACCCGCTGTGTGCCCGCCCCATGCTCCCTGCCGCTCCCTCCAGGGTCCTCACGCCCCCGGGAAAGAGCCTGGCCGGGCAGAGGGGACAGCTGGCCCGTCTGCCCAGGACTTCGAGTGTGAGCACTGAAGTCCCACCTAGAGAAGTCCCTGTCCCGGTCACACAGATGGGTGTGGCAAGGAGGGATGGTGTGGCCAACCGTCCCCAGGTGTGTGCCCAGGCACCGGCTCGAGTGCTAGGCCCTGGACATCTGGCCTGCTTTTGTCCAAGGGCAGTGTGGCACCGGGGCTATGGGGTGCCCTGTGCCTGGGAGGGCCTGCCCAGTGACGGGGGGCGGGGCGAGTGGCAGGACAGCGGCCATCATGACTGGGGAGCAGAGCTGGGGGAGGCAGGAAGCTGGCCCTGGAGGTAGGGGCTGGGCCAGCTCGGCTCTGCGCCCGGGGGAGCAGCCCCGCCCCATGGGCCTCGCTGCCCAATGCTGCCCGGCTTCCTGGCCCACAGCTCCCGCAGCATTGGGGCGCCGGGGGGGACGCAGAGGAGGATGGGCTTCCCATGACCTCCCAGAGGGGGTGAGGCCACAGCAGAGCCCTCTCCTTGGCTGGGGTGGGGCCGTTGGGGACAGTGGCAGGGGGCAGCGGCAGGGGACAGGAGACATAGACCCTGAGGGATAGTAGCCTTCTCCGAGGGGCTGTGGAGCTGGGGCTGTCCCTGGCCACTGGGTGCTCCATCTGTGAGGGACCCCAGTGGGGACACCTGCTGATGGGCCCAACCCGGAGCCCCTGGGCACTGTCCCCATGAAGGTGTGCAGGGGGGACCCAGCTGGATGGGTCCTGAGTGGGCAGTGAAGGGGCCCCATGTGGACCATCAGGGTGCTGCAGGTGACAATCTCTGGGTCCAGCCCCTGGACCACCGTCGGGGGACAGCGGGTCAGTGGGGCACAGCGGCAACCAGGGAAGTCCACGGGGTCCCCAGGCGCGGGTCCTAGGAGGTGCCAGTCACAGACACACGAACACCCTCAGGCCTTGGAGCTGGTCTTTATAGAGGCCGTGGTCCTCTGCTCCCAGGTCCAAGTGTCCACGCTGCCCGGCCCATGCTGGCCCTACCCTGGGGCCAGGAGGGCCACTGGTGGCCTGGCCTTCCCTGGGCCTGGCCGGTCCCCGCCCCGTGCTCCCTGCTGCTCTCTTGGTCCTCTGGGGCCCTTGGCCCTGCCGGGTGGGGTCACGGCTCCTGGCTTCGGGGCGGAGTGGACACGTCGGCGTCCTGTGCCCCCACGGTGGCCGAGGTGCCCAGACTGCGAAGCTCCCGGGTCAGCTTCTCTGCCACCTTGCGGAAGGGTGGCCGGCGGGAGGGCTCTGCCTCCCAGCAGCTGCCCATGAGGGCGTGCACGGGCCCAGGGCAGCCCTCGGGGGGCTCCATGCGGTAGCCCTTCTCCACGGCCTCGGACACCTCCTTCAGCGACTGGGGACAAGGGGCACGTGAGCGCGGCAGGGCAGGGCAGGCCCTGCCCCATCCTCAGGAGGCCCTGCTCACCATCTTGGGGTATGGAGCCCGTCCGTATGAGAAGACCTCCCACAGCAGCACCCCAAAACTCCAGACGTCCGACTTGCTGGAGAACTTCTGTGGGGCCCAAGAGCAGGATGAGTGGGGCCCAGGGCTCCTGCGGCCTCCTCTTCCTCCAGGAAGCCCTCCAGGGCTGGCCCCTCCTGTAGGGTCCCCCCATCCAGGTGAGCCCTGTTACCCTTCCCCTCAGAGAAAAGCCCATGCCCACTTCAGAGATGGGGAAACTGAGGCAGAGGGCAGACTAAAAGGAAAGACCATGGGCCTCTGGCTTGCTGAAGAGGCAGGGCCATCCCCTCAGAGGTTCAGAGAGGCCTTATGCCATGCCAGGGTCACACAGCAGAGCTGGGGCGCCGTCCTACTTTGTGGGACTCTGAAACTCCCAGTTCTGCAGGGGGCTCACCCCATGTTTGAGAGCCTCGGGCGCTGTCCACTTGACAGGCAGCCGGCTTGAGTCCAGCCCCTTCCGCTCAGCTTTGGCCAGGCCGAAGTCACTGACCTTGGCCACCAGGTCCTCGGAGACGAGGATGTTGCGGGCGGCCAGGTCTCGGTGCACCAGCTTCTTGCTCTCCAGGTACTCCATGCCCTCTGCCACATGCCTGGGAGGGGCGCCCAGAGCCTTAGAACAGGCCCGCCCTCCCTGCCTCAGTTTCCCCCGCAAGGGGGAGCCCACCTCCCCACCAGGAGCCCCACACACAGAGAGAACTGCAGGAGCTGGGCGTTGTTCACCAGGGCCCGGCCGCGGGTGCGGAGGAAGTTCACCAGGTTGCCCTGCGGGGTGGAGAGAGGTCGGCTCCAGGCTGCGCGGCCCCGCCCCCTGCGCCCGCCCGGGCCGCACCTTGCTCACGTGCTCCATGACGATGTAGAGCCCCTGGTGCAGGATCACGCCCAGGAGCCGCACCAGGTTCTTGTGCTGCAGCTTCCTGGGGGGGGAGGCATGAGAGCCGGCCGCCCCGCCCCGCGCCCGCCCCCTCCCGCCCCAGCCCGGGACTCACGTCATGACCGCGGTCTCGTCCAGGAAGGCCTGGGCTGTCACGTCGCACTTGATGTTCTTCACGGCCACCTTCTGCCCCAGGTACTCGCCCTGCAGGACAGCTGGGCGTGGTGGGCACAGGGATCAGGAGGCCACCAGTGATGGGAACAGACAGGCCCGCGCCCCGGGTCCCCAGGCACCCAACACAGCTGCAGGGGCCAGCCCCCGTGGCCCTGCAGGCTGCAGACCAGGGCCAGAGACCCCAGGAGCAGGGGTTCGGGCTGCACCCCCGGGCCAAAGCTGCTCCTCTGGAATGACGAGGCCCTGGGCTCACGCAGGCGACGGTCACCTGCACTCGATCCCTGCACCACAGAGCACTCAGCATGCTCTCTCAGGGCTCCAAGGATGGGGGCTCGGTAGTGGGAGAGTGACCACCTGGCCACAAAGCCAGAAGCGTCCCACTCTGGCCCTTACAGAGGAGGTGGAGACCCCGCCCTCGGCCAGGACGACTCCGGAGCTGAGGGGCCTTGGAGCCGAGCTACCACGCGGCAGAGGGAAACAGGCCCCCGCAAGCGCACCTGTCCTGGGAGGTGGGGAACGGGACTCCCAGGCCTCCACCCCACCCGCCTACCTCCAGCTCCGCCCTCACCTCCAAACTCTCCCTCTCCGATCTGCGCCCCCAGCGTCAGGTGCTGCAGGTCCAGGAGCCAGCCGGCTGCAGGGGAAGGCCAGGTCAGGGGTGGCACGGCCCCTCCCATGGGGTCCACCTGGCACCCCTCGGGGACACTCGCTCCTGCAGCCCCCTTCCCGGCAGTGCCCATTGATGTGCCCACGACTTCCCAGGCTCGGGACCAGTGACCTAAGCTGGGTGCTCCCCTCAGACCCGCACACCCAGCTTGGCCCTGGGGACTCCCTGTGGAGCCCAGAGGCAGTGCCAGGAAACCCCTCAGTCTCAGAGGCTGGGGCCACCCTTTCTGTCCTTCCAAATGCCCCATGGGCTTCCCTTCACTCTCCTTTACCTCTGACCACCAGGAACACACAGAGCAAAGCACACAATAAACATGGAGACCCATAAATGTTCTGGAACCTTCCAGGACTCTGGCCTCCACGTGCTCCTCTGCTCTGCGCCCTGCCCGAGGCTGGGTCTGAAGCCATCTGTTCCTCCTCCAGCCCCCCAAGCTCCAAGTCAGTGCTCGTCCCCACCCAGTGCCATGCTTAGCCAGGGAGACTCCAGTGCTTCCAAGGGCACACTGGCCACTCGGGCACCAGGCTGGAGGGTGGCAGAGCTGTGGAAGGACCCGGCCTCAGAGGGAGTGTGCAGGCGGGCTGGACCAAGCTAAGGCCCAGGTTTCCGGCTCAGGTGACATGGTGGGTGACAGGGACACGGCATGAGCTCAACATGGGACTAACCTGGGTCTGTGGTACTCCCTGCCCCAGGCCACCCAAGTGCTTTCCGTTCCATAGCGCTTGGCACAAGGACGCGCCAGGAGGTGTGTGCAGCCCGCATCCTGCTGCCCAGGCAGGCCTGTGCCCACCTACCCTTGGCCAGCTCCTCCTCCGCGGACCGGGTGCCCTGCTTCCTCTTGGGCCTCACCAACTTCGTGCAGATGGCACCCTTGTCCTTGCTGTAGTGCTGCAGAAATGGCAGGGATGGCCTTGAGCCTGGCCCTGCGCCCACCCCTTCGGGGTGGTCTCTGGGTGGGTGGGCCGGAGCTAGGGGGCCAGAGGGGTTCAGGTCGAATGGCAAAGTTGGCAGGTTTCATGAGAACCGGAAAAGATGCAGGGTGGATTCTGGGGGCCCTGGATTGACGCCAGTTTGGAGGTTCCTGGGGCTCCCCAGAGAAGCCACCTCGTCCTCAGAGGTAGAACCAGGGTGACTCGGCCCCCTGGTGGTCCTTGGGGACCAGCCCTCCATCTTTGCACTGAGGAAAATCCCACCCTGGAGCTCACACTGCCCAGTCCGCCAGGGATGGGAGGAGGCCTTGGAGCCTCCTAGGGGCCTGCCCCTGCACCTCTGTATTGGGGATGATGACACTTTGGAGGTCCCTTGTCTGCCCAGCTGCCAAGACCTGGAGGGAGCCCTGGGGTCCCTCTGTGCCCTCTGGGGCCCAGTCCTGATCCCCCAGGGCACCTCCACCATGTCCATGAGATTGCAGAAGCAGACGGCCTCATCGATGGTGAGGTGACCGTCGCGGTGCAGCACGCGGTAGTGGATGACGTCGCGGCCGAAGCTGACGCACAGCACGTAGTCGCCGGGGTGCCGCGCCGACTCACGCACCAGGAACAGCCCGTCCTCGGGGGGCTGCAGCTGCTGCACCGCCTCCTGGCCCGAGATCTTCCCGTGGAACCACCTGCGGCGGGCGGGCGTCGCAGCACAGCTGGGGCCCAGCTGGCCTGGGCCTGCGCTCCGCCCCGGGCCCGCCCGCCGCCCACGCCCACTCACGGCATGAGGCTGAGCTTGGGGTCCGCCGAGAGGGCCTCGCGCTCCCGCAGCGCGCCGGCCGCCAGCAGCCCCTCCTGGCCGCTGGCGTGGTGCTTGGCGCGGTACCAGCTCTTGTTCTGCGGGGGAGGGGCGGGGTGGGCGCCTGGTCCTGGGGAGTCCCCAGCCCCGCTCGCGCAGGTCCCCCGCCGCACTCACCTCGCAGGCCTCCAGGATGGTGACCACGTCGCCCTTGCGGAAGGCCAGCTCCCCCGGCTTGGGGCGCGTGTGTTCGCACTTGGTGATGCACTGAGTGCCCGGGGCCCAGCGCCTCTGGGTGGGAGCAGGAGCGGGCGGAAGAACGTGAGGGTGCCGTGGGGAGCCAGAGGGGGAGGGAGGAGGGAGGACAGGAGGGGAAGGAGATGGAAATTGGGAGGGACAGGGAGATGAGGGACTCAAAACCGAAGCAGCGGGGGGGGGGGGGGGGGGAAGCAGAGGGGAGGGCGAGAGGGCTGAGAAACATTGGAGTCACAGAAGGGACCCTGGACGGAAGGCAGGGAAGGCGCTGGAGCGAGGGTCGAGGCTGGGGGCCTCCTCAGGGGTGTGGACGAGCTGAGGAAGGGCTGGGGACAGAGGCACAGGCGCTGGGATACTCACGGTCGGCATCCTGACTGTGATGGGTGGGGGGTGCCAGGCCCCCAAAAGGCGAGAGCTCACCTGGGGAGGGGGCAGAGTCAAGCTCCAAGTCCCGTTTCCAGGTAGGCTTGGGCCCCAGGGTCCAGTCCCTGTCACTTGCAGTCCAGGCCAGGTGGGGCGCAGCCGGGAGGCACACATGGCCTCTCAAGGCATCCCGGGTCAGACCCAGGCACGGCCCCTCAGTCCCCTCTGGGGAAGTGATCTTTACCCGGGGAGGCTCCTTAGTCGAGTCACAGCCATACAATGCCAGCCTGGAGACCATGGAGGTTCGTCCTGCCATTTCCCCCAAAGGGAAACCGAGGCCCGGGAAAGGCGGAGAGCAGTGGTCACAGGCAGTATGGGAGGACCGCCTGGCTCAGGCCAGCAGCCAGCACAATGTGTAGGGAGCTTGGTGCCACCTGACCGCGCCTACTCCTTCCTCTTTTCTAGCAGTGGGCAGGGGCAGGGAGGGGAAGGGGGATGAGTCAAGGTCATTACCAAGAACCTTTGACCCTGAGGTGGAGCTGGGCCAGAGGAGGCTGTGCAGCCCTGCTGGAGGAGCAGGGTCCCCTGCCCCAGCCCTGGACAGACACGCCAAAGTCCCTCATTGCCGTTAGGCTGGAGGTCCCCCCTGCCTCTCCCACATCCCCTGCTGCAGGTGGCCGAGCATTAGGGAGGTTGAGGTGTGGGATCCCAGCTCCTCGGGCCTGTCCCCCACAAGCTCTGCAGCCCGGGGACTGGCCAGCACACTCGTGGGTTACACACAAGCACTAGAGCCCAAGGGCTCCTTCCCGGGGACCAGGGCGCCGGCGTACCGGCAAAGGCGCCGGTCCACCTAGAGACAGGTGCGCACCCTCGCGCACGCGTGTGGATACGCGGACAGACACTCGCCACCCGGAGCTGTGCACCTGTCCCCCGCCCCCAACTCACACACAGCCAACACCTGGGCGCCAGACGCTAGGCCACCCGGGCGCGCAGAGCCACACGCAGGGCCGTGCACACGCATCCCGGCCACACGCGCACAGCCCTCCACGTGGACGCGCCGATACGCACCCGGGCTCGTAGCTGCGCACGCCGCACCCAGAGACATGCCCCGCCGCGCCCGCCGGGATCGGCTGCCCACCCCCGCCCCAGCCGCGTACGCGCCTCGCGCCGGGACGCGCGCACTCGCGCGCACCCCGGCCCCTCCTGTGCAGCCCTGGGGCCCCCTTCCAGAGCCCGCGGGGTCCCCACCCGCCGCGGGGTCCCTCCTGCCCATCCCCGCGGACGCGCTCACCTGCTCAGGGGGCGTCCCCGGGCTGCGCCCTGCGCCCGCCCCCAGGAGGGCCCCCGCAAGCCGGCTGCGCACCCCGGGGCGGATCGGGTACCACAACTTGGAGCAAGTTATTCGGTTTCCTCATTTTTAGGGGGGAAGGACGGCCAGGGAGTGGGGGTAGCGGGAGGCGCCGCGGCCTGGGAGCCCCCGCGGGTCCTAGCGCCGGCCGCACTGCGGTCTGCTCGCGCGCCGCCGCCGCCGGCCCCTCCCCGCCGCGCCCTCCAGGTCCCCTGCGCCTCCCGCGCGGTCGGGGCGGGGTCCCGGGGCGCACTTGGGGTCCACGACGAGTCCTGACCTGGCGCCCAAGAGCACGCGCCGTCACCCACCCCGGGAAGTGGAGTCGCAGAGCGGGGAGCAGGGGCTGCACGCACGCGTGCACGCGCTCAGGGGTTGGGGAATCATGAGCTGCCCATCTGGGGAGGTAAGCAAGCCGCAGAGCCCCAGGACCCAGGGACGCTTCCCAGCCTGCAGTTTCAGCTCCCTCGGCCTCACTTAAGCACCCTCCATCGAGGGCTGTTAGTGCCTGGCGCCAGAAAACACGAACAAAAGCAAAAGCAGTAAAAATTTCCACCAGCTCCATAACGTCACCATCATGGGCAACCTGCGGGGGAAATTGGGGCGACCAAAGACAACACCTGGGAGCCTCTTGGCGGCCACAGAAGGACCTGCAGAGGCGGGAGGGGCGCTGCCTCCCTCCTCTGGCAACCCCCTGCAGGCAGGCTGAGCCGCCACCTCCCAGGACAGTTTGCCCTCCTCTGGTGGCCACTGCCCTGGGCCTGGGGGCAGCGCCCACAGCTCAGGGTTTCTGAGCTCACAGACCCCGTGTCCAGGCACCCAGTGCTCATGTCTGATCTCATTACCCCAAGACACAGGGTCTAGCTCAGAGCCCAGGAAGGAGAAGGCAGAGCACCCGCTGGGGTCCTCCAGGTGGGAAGGCCACGCCCTGCCAGGCGCCTCATGCGTGATTTCACAGAATCTGTCCAAGGGGTCCCTGTGGACAGACCCCCCCAGGCAAGAGAGGACATGGTGGGCAGAGGGGGCGGGGACAGCCTCTGGTGGCCTTGAACTGTCGGCAGTGGTGTCTGCAGAGGGGCCTCCATGAGGCGCCCGGGGTCCACAGCTCAGCACCCAGAGCTGGTGTGGGATGGCCCAGGGTAGGGCTCCTGGGAAGGGCTGGGGACCCTGCAGCTGTCATCCTAGGGACAGGGGCCAAGAGCACCCTACATGACAACCCCCATCTCTTGCCTGAAATAGAGCTGTCAGTAACCGCAGCGGAAGCCCCACTGTGCCGGGAAGTCCCCACCAGCCCGCCGCGACCTGCTCTGCCCGCCTGGCTCCAGGCCCGTGCTGTTTGAGGGCTGCGAGATGTCCTAGGCCCCCACTGTGACCATCTCCTGGACACACCAGGGACACAGGAGGAGGGTCGGGAGGGGCAACTCAGCAGCCTCTGTGTTGGAGAAGCACCAACTGTCCCCCCAGGACCCCAGGGTCCCTGTCCCATCCTGAGGGAGGGATCAGAGGAACCAAGGGCTGAGCCCAGAGGAGGACAGACGAGCGGACAGTTCCCCAGCGGGTGTGGCACAGGCCCCGCTGGCCCTGACTCGGGACCTGTCGCACTCCTGCTTTATCCGGGTCAGAACCACAGAACCGGTTGCTTCAGCGGGGAGGGGCTCCCAGAACCCACTCTTCCAACCCCGGGCCCCCTGCAAGGACTCAGCCGTCCCCTCTAGCGAGGCTGGGAGGGTAGTGGGGCTGCACATCACACACCCCCTCCTGGTCCCTGCTCCCCAGCTCCCGCCGGCTGCATCCTGTCCTTGGTGACAGCCTGTTGGCCTCAGGTCAGACATTCTGAGCCCTGGTGCAGGCTGGTGACCCTGCCCCCGTGTCCCAGCGGCCAGCTGTAGGCAGGGGGACAGCGGCGACTGGGGGCAGGCAGGGCCGCGGTCAATGCCATCCCAGGCCGCGGGGGAGGGCACTCGACTTTGAGGAGCCCCCGTGTCAGTGGACACAGGATCCAGGAGCCGCCTGGTAGGCCCTTTGCCCAAGGCATCGGTTGGGCCAGGGCTGGTGGCTGGGATGGAACCGACCTTCTAGATGCTGGAATTAGAAGTGGACCCGCACTGGGCCAGGCTGGGGCCCGGTGGCAGAGCAGTTGCCCAGCACACGTTAGGCCCTGGGTCCAGTTCCCAGCACCACCTACAAATAAACAAATAAAATGAGGGTTTTGTGTCCATCTAGGACAAAAAATAAATAAAAATAATGAAAGGTACTGTGTCCAACCACAACTTAGAAATAAATATCAAAAAAATGGATCTCTACTGAGAGCCAATTCAGGTGGTGTCAGGGACTCAGACTGCTGCCGTCTTGTCATGGTGATTTTTTTGGTACTGGGGATTGGACCCAGGAGTGCTCTTCCAAGGGGCTACCCCACAGCTCTTTTTTACTTGTCCAGGCTGGCCTTGAACTTCCGATCTTCCTGTCTCAGCCTCCAGAGTTGTTGGGATGACAGGAGAGCAAGACCACACCAAATTCCCACCTCTTTTTTTTTTTTCTTTTTTTTGGAGAGAGAGAGAGAGAGAGAATTTTTTAGTATTTATTTTTTAGTTTTCGGTGGACACAACATCTTTATTTTATTTTATGTGGTGCTGAGGATCGAACCCAGTGCCCCACGCATGCCAGGCGAGCATGTTACCTCTTGAGCCACATCCCCAGCCCCAGACTCTCTTGTCCCACCTCTTGATCTAATATAGCTGCTCAAGTTCCAACCATTGCAACTACATTCCAGTCAACAGGAAGCAGGAAGGGGCAGAGAAGGGTGTACTTCCTCCGTTTTAAGGACTCCTCCTTGAAAATCCCAGATCTGTTGATTGATCCCAGCTGGTGGAGAAAGGGAAGTTGGGAAATGTAGTCTTTACACCAGAGGCCAAGGAGGAGGGAGGAAGGAGCTCTGGCCTCCTCCTTTCCAAGCACTCAGGCTGCGCGGCCCCCGCGGGCCAGACCCAAGCTCTGCGGCCCATGGGACATCCCAACCTGCCGCCCTCCTGTCCCTGGCTGCAGAGGCCATGGAGTGCAGCCCACCCCCCTGCTGTCCTTCCTGGTCTTGCTCGGCGTGCGCCGGGGCAGGGGGGTGGCCACGGCGGGCGCTCTAAGCCCAGGGAGCTGGAAGCCGGGGAATGAGCCGCCCGGGCTCCAGTGAGGCGGGCGTCCGTGTGTCCAGTTTGAAGATGGGAAACCGAGGCTTGGGGATGCTCTTGACAGGACGCAGGGGGTGGCGTGGGACACACACCAGCCGCCGCCGGCTCGGCCGCCTTCAGCGGAGCAGGGAGACCGGCTGCCCCAGTTAGCAGCCCTTTAAATTTAGCTCCCGCCAGGGGACTGGGGGGCGTTGGCTCTTTCCAGGAAAAGTGCCCCCCTGGCCTGCGGCCCCCTGGGAAGCCGGGCCCTTTCCACGTGCTGGCTGAGGGCTTTTGGGTAACCCCTCGGGAGTCTCGGTGGGGAGGCTGCTGTCCACCTGGAGCCCGTCCTCCTCACGGTGAGGACAGAACTGGACGCGATGTTTCCACCAGCCGTGGGTGGGGACCGGAGCTGCTGCCTCATGCACGGGAAGCTGCTCCCCACTGCCCCCCGCGGCCCCTCAGCCTTTCCAGGTCCCTCACCCTCTGCTCCCGCCTCCCTGTTCCTCTGCAGCCCCCGGACACCCAGCCCCAGGGCCTTGGCACGTGCTTTC